TTTTATGAAGTCCAGTTTATCAATTTATTCAGTTTTCCAGTTTTTTTCTTATGTTTTTGGAGTCCTATCTCTGACCCAAAATTACAAAGATTTTCTTTGCTTTCTTTTATAGTTTGTTTGTTTTCCCCAGAAACAGGGTCTTGCTCTGTCACCGAGGCTGGAGTGCAGTAGTATGATTATAGCTCACTGCAGTCTCAAATTCCTGTGCTCAAGCAATCCTCCTGCCTCAGCCTCCCAAGTAGCTAGGACTACAGGCACAAGCCACCAAACCCAGCTAACTTTTTAAATTTTCTGTAGAGACAAGGGTCTCGCATTGTTTCCCAGGCTGGTCTCGAACTCATGGCTTCAAGCAGTGCTCCCGCCTCAGCCTCCCAAAGTATTGGTATTACAGGTGGGAGCCACCACACCTCGCCTGGTTTGCATTTAGATCCATGATTTATCTTTAGTTAATTTTTGTTTAAGGGGTGTGAGGCTTAGGTTTTTGTATATGGAGGTCCAATTGTTCTAGTACCATTTCTTGAAAATACTGTCCTTCCTTTACTGAATTTCCTATGAACTTTTGTAAAAGTCAATTGGCTATATTTGTATGGTTCTATTTGTGGACTCTGTTCCATTTGTTTTTGGATCTGTCCCTTTACAAATACCATATTAACTCAGTTAACTTGAATTTTAGACTAATGCTTAATATCAGGTAATATGAATCCTCCAGCTTTGTTCTTTTCCAAATTATTTTGGCTATATAATCCTTTGACTTTCTATATAAATTTTAGAATCACCTTGTCTGTAGACACAAAACAATCTTTTAGCCGTTTGATTGGAATTGCACTGAGTTTATAGGTTGGGGAAACTAACATCTTAACTATATAGAATCTTTAAATTTGTATCACAGTATGTCTCTCCATTTATTTTGGTTTTCTTTTATTTCTTTCATCAGTGTTTTACGATTTTTCAACATACATTCCTGGGACATGTTTTGTTAGATTTATACCTAAGTATTTTATTTCCTTGGAGTTATTATAAAATGTTTCAATTTCCAATTTTTCATTGCTAGCACATAGAAATATAATTCATTTTCATATGTTGATCATGTATCCCAAAACTTTGCAACGCTAACTTTTAAGAGATTTTTGGTGGAGTCTGTGGAATTGTTTACAGACAATATTATTTCTTCTTTGCCAGACTTAATGCCTTTTATTTCTTTTTCTTACATTATTGCACTGGCTAGGACTTCCAGGACAACACTGGAAGGAGTAGTGAGAGTGGACATCTTTGCTTTGTTCCTGATCTACCTAAGATCTTTCTACCTAAGAAAGGATTCAGTGTTTCACTGTTAAGGATTATGTTCGATGTAGGATTTTTTTTTTTGAGACAGAGTCTTGCTTTGTTGCCCAGGCTGGAGTGCAGCAGCACAATCTCGGCTCACTGCAAGCTCTGCCTCCCAGGTTCATGCCATTCTCCTGCCTCAGCCTCCCGGGTAGCTGGGACCACAGGTGCCCACCACCAAGCCCGGCTAATTTTTTTGTATTTTCAGTAGAGATGGGGTTTAACTGTGTTAGCCAGGCTGGTCTTGATCTCTTGACCTCGTGATCCGCCCGCCTCGGGCTCCCAAAGTGCTGGGATTACAGGCGTGAGCCACCACACCTGGCAGATGTAGGATTTGTATAGATGCCCTTTATGAGGTCAAAGAAGTTCCCTTTTATTCCCAGTTTTATGAAAGTTTTTATAATGAATGGGTGGGCTGGGTGCAGTGGCTCACACCTCTGATACCAGCGCTCTGGGAGGCCAAGGCAGGTGGATTACTTGAGCCCAGGAGTTAGAGACCAGCTTGGATGATATAGTGAGACCTTGTCTCTATAAAAAATAAGAAAATTAGCCAGGGGTGGTGGCAAATGCCTGTAGTCCCTGTTACTTGGGGGTATGAGGTGGGAGGATCACTTGAGCCTGGGAGGTTGAGGCTACAGTGAGCTGTGTGATTGCACCACTGCACTCCAATCTGGGCAATAGAGCGAGACCCTGTCTCAGTAAATAAATAAATACAATAAATAGGTGTTGGATTTGGCTAGGTGCTTTTCTGATTGTGTGAATTTTCTTCTTTAGCCTGTTAACATTGGTTGGTTTTGGAATAGTGAACCACTTTTTTTGTTTGTTTGTTTGTTTAATGGGAGCCTCACACTGACACCCAGGCTGGAGTGCAGTGGCATGATCTCAGCTCACTGCAACCTCTGCCTCCTGGGTTCAAGCAATCGTCCCACCTCAGCCTCCTGGGTAGCTGGGATTATAGGCACACATCACCACACCTGGCTAATTTTTGTATTTTTACTAGAGACAGGGTTTCACCATGTTGGCCATGCTGGTCTCAAACTCCTGACCTCAAGTGATCCACCAGCCTCAGCCTCCCAAAGTGTTGAGATTACAAGCGGGAGCCACCGTGCCTGGCCCGTCTCATACTAATTTCTAGTTTAATTTCCTTACTGTGAGAGAACATATTTTGTATGATTTTAATTCTTTTACATTTGTCAAGGTCTGATTTAGATCCACAGTAGTGTCTGTCTTGGTGAATGTTCAATGTGTCCTTGAGAACACTGGATATTCTGTTGTTGGGTGGAGAGTTGTAAGTGTGAATTAGTTGACATTGTTCATTTCTTCTTTATCCTTATTTATTTTCTGTCTATTTGTTCTGTTGGTTACTAGAGAGAAGTCTTGAAGTCTCAAACTGTAATTGGGGATTAACCATCTCTCCTTTCTGTTATATCAGGCTACGCTGCATATATTTTGAAGTTCTGTTGTAGGATTGCAGTGTCCTAGTATCATTGTTATATGATGTCTTTTTTCCTGATCATTTTCTTGCTGTAAAGTTGACTTTGTCTGATATTAATTTAGCCATTCCAGCTGTTTTGATCAGTGTTTGAATGGTATTTCATTTTCCTTCTAACCTACATATTACCTTTTACTGTTTAACAGCTTTATTGTGATATAATTCACACTATACAATTTACTTATTTAAAGTGTACAAATCCAATGATTTTTTCATACATTTACAGTTGTGCAACCATCACCACAATCAATTCTAGAATTTTTATTACCCCCCAAAAGAAACCTTGTACTTGTACTTTAGCTTTTATCCACCAATCTCCCTATACTATCCCCCCACACTCAGCCCTAGGTAACCACTAACCCTAACCCTAACCCTTTAACCCTAGCCCTTAACTACTAGCCTCTAACCCCTTACCCCTAACCCTTAACCCTAACTCTAACCCTACTTTCTGTCCCTATAGATTTGCCTATTCTAGACATGTGTGTAGAGTATTATACAATGTGTGGCCTTTCGTGTCCAGCTTCTTTCACTTGGCGTAACATTTTCGATGGTTCATGATGTTGTAGAATGCATCAGTACTTCATTTCTTTTTATGCCTGAAAAATATTCCATTATATGGATAACCACATTTTATTTACCCATCAGTTGGTGGACATTCAGGTTGTTTGCACTTTTTGGCTACTCTGAATAATGCTGCTGTGAACATTTGTGTACACATTTTTGTGTAGACATATGTTTTAAATTCTTGGAGGAGTGGAATTGTTAGGTCTTATGGTAACTCTATGTTTTAGCTTTTTGAGGTACTGCCAGACTTTTGCAAAGTAGCTTCACCATTTTATACTTCCCACCAGCAGTGTGTGAAGGTTCCTATTTCTCGGCCTCACCAATACTTGTTATTGTCTGCCTTTTTAATTATAGCCATCCTAGTAGATGTAAAGTAGTGTATCATTATGGTTTTGATTTTTATTTTCCTATTGACTAGTAGTAATATTGAACATCTTTTCATGTGCTTATTGGCCAACTTCTTAGGAGAATTGTCTATTCACATCCTTTGCCTACTTTTCAATTGGTTTGTCTTTTTATTGTTGAGTTATAAAAGTTATAAAAGTTATGCATTCTGCATACTAGACTCTTACCAGATAAATGCTTTGCAGGTATTTTTTTCCCTATTCTATGTTTTGTCTCTTTACTTTCTTAATGGTGTATTTTTAAACTTGAAAGTTTTTTTTAAATTTTGATGAAATCCAGGTTTTTTCCCCTTTGGTTGCTTTGTTTTTGGTGTCATTTAAGAAACCATTACCATGGTCATGAAGGCTTACTCCTAAGTTTTCTTCTAAGAGTTTTATAGTTTTTTATCTTATGTTTAGGTTATTGATCATTTTGAGTTAATTTTTACATAAGTGTAAAGTGGGGGTTCATTGTTTTGCACGTGGAAATCCACTTGTCCCAGCACCATTTGTTAAAGATACTATTCTTTACTCGTTGAATTATTTTGGCACCTATAGTCAGTTAACTATAGTGTGAAGGATTTTTTCCTGGACTATCAGTTTTTGCATATGTACTCATAAGAGGCTGGTCTGTAGTTTTCTTAGGTTGTTTGTCTGGGTTTGGTATCAGGGTAATACTGCCCTCACAGAATGAGTTGTTACCTTTGACCTACTTGTATCCTATTAAATTTAATGTGAGTTACTTAATTACTTAAAGACAGCATATAATTAGGTTTTTATAATCCAAACTGATAATATGTCTAATTGGTGTGATGAGGCCATTTATGTTTAATGCAACTATTGAAATGTTTGACTTTAGATCTACCATTATGTCGTTTTCTGTTTGTTCCCTGTTTTCAATTGCTGTTTCTTCTTTCCTTTTTTCCTTCCCTCCTATCTCTCCTTCTCCCTACACACACACACCCCCCACACAGTGGTTGTTCTAGGGGTTCTAATACACATACTTTTTGTTCTTTTTTTTTTTTTTGGAGATGGAGTTTCACTCTTGTTGCCCAGGTTGGAGTGCAACGGCACGATCTTGGCTCACTGCAACCTCTGCCTCCCGATTTCAAGCGATTCTCCTGCCTCAGCTTCCTGAGTAGCTGGGATTACAGGCATGCACCACCACACCTGGCTAGTTTTGTATTTTGAATAGAGACAGGGTTTTGCCATGTTGGTCAGGCTGGTCTCGAACTCCTGACTTCAGGTGATCCACCTACCTTAGCCTCCCGAAGTGCTGGGATTACAGGTGTGAGCCACCCTGCCCAGCCAAATATACATAGTTTTACAGTCAATTTAGAATTAATGTTTTGCCATTTCAAGTAGCATGTAGAAACCTTACTACCATCTAGGTCCCTCCACCCTTCTCCCGTCACGTTTTAGTTGTCTTACATCTATATACACTGAAGCCTCCAGACAGTGTCGTGACTTTTAATTCAGCCATCACATAACTCTTAAAAAAGTCAATAGTTTCATATTTATGTGGATTTTTGCCATTTATGATGTTCTTCTTGCATTCCCAAAGTTTTGAATTTCCCCCAATATCGTTTCTCTTCTGTCTGAAGAACTTCATTTAACATTTTTTTAAAGCAGATTCTTTGGTTATGAATTTCCTCAGCTTGCCTTCATTTGAGAATGTCTTTATTTTACTTCATTCTTTATTCCAGTAAAATAGTATTTTTACTGGATGTAGAATTCTTGGGTGACAATTATTTCAAAACTAAAAATATTCCACTTCTTTCTGGCCTCTGTTGTTTCTGGTGAAGATCTGTAGTCTTTCAAAGAATTGTTCACCTGTATGAAATGTATCATTTTTCTCTGTCTGGTCTTATTTTTCTTGGTCTTTAGTTTTCAGAAGCTTCTTTATTATGTGTCTAAGCTTGGACTTTTGTTGTTAATTTATCCAGTTGTGTGGTTCACTGAGCTTCTTGGTTTGTAAGTATATCTTTTTCCAAACTATCATCAAATTTACGGGCTCCATCCTTTGTCATTTCCATTCTGTTTAGGAATATTCACCAATACTTTCTGAAGGCTGGTTATAAATAGCTGCTGTAAAGTCTGCTTCTGATCATTCCAATAGTTGAATCATCTCAGGATGGGCATGTATTGATTGTCTTCTTTTCTCCCATGTTGAGATTTTCCTGGTTTTCATGCTCTGGGTTATTTTGGGTTATATCCTGGATATTTTTAATATTGAGACTCTGGACCTTGTTTAAATCCTAAGCAGAATGTTGATTGTTTAAAATGTTTGCACTACTAGTCATATTAGTCCTGTGTCTACACCTGTCAGTCTGGGACCTGCGATGCGCATCTAGGGTGAGCCCTGTGCGCAGCCTGGCAGCAAGCCGATGAGTTCACGTATCACTTTACTGGATCGCTCACTTCATCTCTCCCTTCTCTGTACTCTCCCTGAAACACAACAGCTCCCTGCGACATCCCTTGCAAGACCTCCAGCCAGAAATCTGGGGCTCTTTCCCTACCCTTCTGCATACTCCCTGAAACTGCATCCAGGGCCCAGCGCAGGGGGACAGAAAGGAGCCGCAGAAGGCGGTTGCCCCATGCTCTTGGGGCCATGGCTCCTCTAGTCAGAGGGTAGCATTACCTTCTCAGGTTTCAGGTGCCTACCCAGCTCACACTACCGTCACTATGCCACCACTGCCACCTCCATGTTACTGCCCAGGAGCTGGGGTAGAGAAGAAAGGAAAAATTGGAGGGATTCCCCCAACTCGCTGACCTTGAGGGGCTTCACATCCCACTCCTCTGATGCTTCCTGGAGCTCTTTCTGTTGGTGCACTTCAGGTTTCAAGCCGCCTGTGTGTCCAGGCTAGGCAATACTGGTTACCTCACCACTTATCTGCGGAACTTTGGTCTCCTTTTCTCATCTGCCTACTACTCCCTCAGAGCTGCTCCTGCATCTGTCCAGGATTGGTGGCTGTCAGTGGGAGAGACATGGGAAGATGCTCCCTCCACCTTCCTGGGACCACCTTGTTGACTCAGCAGCCTTCCTCGCCGCACAGCATGCCATGCCTTCCTGGATGGAGGCCCTGAGGGCAGCTTTTGGTTTTCCTACCCCTGTACCCCTCCAAGAAAGCTCTGGCACACTGCAGAGGCCAGCAACTACTTGTCGAATGAATCAAAGGAGCGTCAAGCCAGGGCCAAGGGTCAGAAGCAGGGGCTTGCTTCCCCGGAGCCCAGCTCTTCTCTGGGCTCCCCTTTCCTTTTTGACACCTCCTGCTTGGTTGGCAGTGAGGTCTCCCACGTCTGGGGGATCCTTGCCCCTGCTTCTGCACCCAGCCCTGGCTAAGCGGCCTTGTTCTATCAAAGCTGTCGGGATCTGCAGAGTGCTCAGCTTCTACTCCCGCTCCTACACAGCTGCAAGTGGCTTGAAAATATATGACCATGCTTCAACGTCTCCAGTGATTCCCACTGTGTTGGGACACAAAGCCCACCTCTCTGCCATGTGCCCCTGATGGTCGCTGCCCCAGCTTGTTTCCTTTCTGTAGGGCTTGGGTCTTTGCCAACCCCTCTACCTGGATTGCTCTCCCTGTAAGACTCATCATAGCTGAGGCCTTTGCACTCCGCTCCTTCCACTCACATGTCACCTCAGGGTTGTCCGTGGCCTCTCCTTTCCCATCTCTCCCAGTACATTATGGTCTTTCCTTCCTAGCGTCTGGTGGTATCTATGGTAGGCATGTTTAGCTGCTGGTACAATCCCTCCTTCACGGAAATATGGGCTTCATGTCTGGCCCCTGTGGGACTGCCAGAGCCTGGTCCTCAGTCATGTTTAGTTGGGCTAGTGAGTCAACTCTTTTGGTCAAAGGGACAAAAGAAGATGAGGAGATGTGGCTTTAATCAGGACCAGTGTGGAACAGTGAGACCTGCGCATGGCACTGCTAGGAGGGATAGGTTCTACCTGCCAGCCTTGGGGCTCCTGGCAGCCGACAGGACCTGCCCACTGAGACTTGTGTGCCAACCTTTGGGTACAGAGCCTTAGCTTCACAGGCCCCAAGCCAGGAGCCCCTCCTCAGGTGAGCCAGCAGGGATGGATGAAGGCCTGTCAAGGGTTTCTTGCACACTCAGATCCAAGTCTCAGAGTGGTGGTCTCTCTGCTGGCCTCCCACCCACACTCTCCTGTTATCAGAAGTGTGGCAGGTGACAGTGTGGTCACTGGGGTGGGAGGATGTGGGAGGCCCTGGATGGGGCCCATGCCCAAGGGTCTAGCCAAGGCCTCTTCATTAGGGCCCCAACTGTGACTTTATTACTCATAGTCTCTTCCCTGCCCTGGTGGCCCTCATCCCCCAAACCTGAATGCAGAAGTCTTGGTCCTGGACTCAAATCCATGCCACTCTTCAGCCTATGCTGTGGGTTCCTAAGCTGAGCATTTACCTAACAATCAAGACTTCTGACAGTCCTCAGTCCTACCCCCAAACCCTCTTGGATTTCTTTTTCAAGGTGGTTTCAGCTAGGAGGGTAAGCATGGCTTGGGTGAGAACAGATAGGGTGGGAGCATGTGGCAGGTATGGATGAGACCTTGACAAAGGGACCCCAGATGAAAGACGGGGACCCTTTCTCCCTTTGTCCTGGAAACCCAGCTCAGCCCCAGCCCTTGCCCATGCTGCTGTTGCTGCCTGGTACCTTCCACAAGGCCAGACTCCTCTCCGCAAAGCTGTGGCCTGCACCAGCTCCTCTGACTCTCCTTCTCTGCCTGCTGAGGGCCCCCTCCCAGCCTGGCTGTCAATCACAGGAGAAAGGGGTTGGGATTTTGTTTGTCCCTCTCCCTGAGCAGAGAATGGCTGATGCGGCCACCGAGCCTTGACCTGGAGAGCCCCTCTGTCCCTGCTGCCCCCGTCTCCCCTAGCCCAGACTTCTGCCCTTCACGCCCATCCCTGACCAGCAGCCCCACTCAGCCTGGGCTCTGGGTGCCAGCTGGTTATGGACATGCCACCTCAGCCCAGGCCAGGAGCTGGTGGATGCATAGGGCTATTTTAAGCACAGCTTCTTGGCCTGCTCCCCTGGCCCCCAGCCCCCAGCAGCTCAGCTACTGGTCACCTGCCACCGCCTGGAATGCTGATTGGCAGTTGGCTGGGGTGGGGGCTGGGAAGACACTGTTAATAAAGCTGGGAGTGTAGGGAAGCAGCCGTCCCCATCCGGAGTCCTCTGTGGTCCCTGCTGCCACCATGGCCACCCACCGCCTTGTGATGGTCCGGCACGGCGAGAGCACATGGAACCAGGAGAACCGTTTCTGTGGCTGGTTCGATGCAGAGCTGAGTGAAAAGGGGGCCGAGGAGGCCAGGCGGGGAGCCAAGGCCATCAAGGACGCCAAGATGGAGTTTGACATCTGCTACACGTCGGTGCTGAAGCGGGCCATCCGCACCCTCTGGGCCATCCTGGATGGCACGGACCAGATGTGGCTGCCTGTGGTGCGCACTTGGCGCCTCAACGAGCGGCATTACGGGGGCCTCACAGGCCTCAACAAGGCGGAAACGGCCGCCAAGCACGGGGAGGAGCAGGTGAAGATCTGGAGGCGCTCCTTTGACATCCCGCCGCCCCCCATGGACGAGAAGCACCCCTACTACAACTCCATTAGCAAGGTGGGCTGCCTCCACTGGGAAGGCCTCTGGGAAGCTGCGGGGTGGGTAGTCGGGTGGGGGCCTGCTAGCTTGGGAGGGAAAGCAGCGTGCCTGTGTCCCCCAGGAGCGTCGGTACGCAGGCCTGAAGCCCGGGGAACTGCCCACCTGCGAGAGCCTCAAGGACACCATTGCCCGGGCCCTGCCCTTCTGGAACGAGGAGATTGTTCCCCAGATCAAGGCCGGCAAGCGAGTGCTCATTGCAGCTCACGGGAACAGCCTGCGGGGCATTGTCAAGCACCTGGAAGGTGAGACCGCCCTCAGAAGCCTGGGCAGAGTGGGTGGGCAGCAGCCCCAGCTGGTTTCTCATCTCAGCAAAGCCTCTAGCCCATGGACCAGGCCGCTTTCTAGGCGTGGGGCTCCACATCGTTCACTGAAAAAGGAGGGCTGAGCAGCCACTTTTTAGTTTTGTGAAACTTCCCTCATTTCTGTGTAACTAGGACACACTCCACAGGGGCTGACCGCACTTGAAGCTCGCTGTGTCCCGAGGCGGGGCAGGCTCCAAAGGGGCATCTGCCCAGGGACACCCAGCTAGGAAACGGAGGGGCTGGGCTTAGAGCATCTAGCTCCAAATCCCGGCTTACCGGGGGCCCTGGACAAACCACCTCCATCTCTGGGCCTCTCCCTTTTCCGGGGTGGTGGGGAGCCCCCAGGGCTCCCCCGGTACTGACTGCCTCTTGATGTGTAGGCTTGGACCCCTCGCAGGACCCTCCCCCATCAGGTCCTCAGATTCCCTGCATGAGCTCCACCACCTATCTCCCTCTGGAGCCCCTCTCTGGGCAAAGGAAAGACCAATCAAAAGAGGGGTGCAAGACTATGGAGTGGCCGGACCCCGGACTTGTAGCGGGGCTCCCACTGAAGAGCAAGGGCTGACAAACGGGCCCGGGATACATGGGTGCAGTGAGGCCTCACCCAGAGTGACTGGCACCTCCACTCCGCCTCCCACCTTAGTATTCTGACACCAGGGCAGTCTAAATTAGCATCTGAATGACCTTAAAGCTTGTAGAGTCCTGGAAAGGCTAGAAGGGTGTGCCCCAAACCTTCTGCTCCTGGGGCCGATGGGCAGCTGGCCAGAGCACCCAGACCGGCAGGCCCCGGAGACCCAGCCCGCCCCAAGCCTGCCAACTCCAAACACGGATACCTGGCACCTGGCACCAGGGCCAGGCAAAGGGAAGGACCCCCTGCCTCCTCTCCCTTCTGGAGGCTTCATGCCAGCCCCATGACCCTTCCACAGCCTGGTTTGGGGAAAGGGGATGCACTTTTGGTGGTGAATATGAGGGGATTTCAGTGGGAGTCCCTGAATCCCCAGGGAACATTCTCAAACCTTTCTGCACTGAGCGGGGATGGAGTGGCGTGAATATCAAAGGTCGAGCTGCTATTCCCAGCTCGGGGGCTGCAGGAGGCAGGCAGGGTCAGGTTTCGACCAGGCTTGGCCTCCCTGTCCCTCCTCCAGCTCCATTCCGCACTTGCTCCTGTTCAGGATGTCTAGAATTTAGAGCACTTTGGAAACCAAAGGGCGCTGGACGCAGTGGCTCACTCCTGTAATCCCAGCACCTTGGGAGGCTGAAGCAGGAGAACTGCTTCAATCCAGGAGGTGGAGGTTGCAGTGAGCCGAGATCACGCCATTGCACTCCAGCCTGGGCAAAAGGAGCAAAACTCCATCTCAAAAAGAAAGAAACCAACCAACCAAAGGGCTAGTGTCCTTCCTGACCCTCAACTTCAGTCTGGCTGGAGTCACACTGGGCTGAGGGGACTATGGACAGCACCACCACAGGTCACAGCCACTTGGGTGGGGCTGAAGTCCCCATTTGTTTCACCACTGGGCTATTTCTGCAGGCTGCTTGGTCTAACTCAGTTACGCCTTGACCTTCGGCAACATTTCTGTGGCCTCGCTCTCAGGGCTGGAAAGGTTGGTGCCAGGGGAACTGGCTCTGTGGCCCATAAAGGTCATATAGTGTCTGCTGTGTGAATAGGCTGGGGACAGAGGGGCTAAGGACACCTATTCCTTCCGGCACAGGGATGTCAGACCAGGCAATCATGGAGCTGAACCTGCCCACGGGGATCCCCATTGTGTATGAGCTGAACAAGGAGCTGAAGCCCACCAAGCCTATGCAGTTCCTGGGTGATGAGGAAACGGTGCGGAAGGCCATGGAGGCTGTGGCAGCCCAGGGCAAGGCCAAGTGAGGGGTTGGGCTTGGGCAATAAAGGCACCTCCTCCCACAGCCTGGACTCCAGCGCAGCCGGGCATGCCAGGCTCACCCCACCATCAGCTATGGGGACTCCAGAACCAGGGGTGTAGCCATCCACCTTCCCCCACTCCATACCTGTGTCACCAGGGGCAGGAGCCTAGTACCCACCCCTAGTCATCAGGACACTGAGCCAGGGCTGCAACCACTCCATGAGTTTGCAGTCAGGACAAGCCTGTGGTGACCCTGAAGCTTCAGAGCCACTTAGTAACCATGCTCTAGAATTGGCATGCTTGGGGCCAATTAGAAGAGGCCAAGTGACCCGGCTCTCCCCATGGGGAGCAAGGACCACAGCCAGGACATGGCTTCCCAGACAGCTTCCTACAGAGGGCAGGTGGTCCTCTGCTGTCCTTGCAACCCCCAGGTGGCACTTTGAGCCCTGACTCTTGGGTGGGGACAGGTAAGCCCAGAGGGGGTCTCAAAGCTGGCAACAGCCCAAACTTGGGTCTTCCATGGGAGTGGAGGGGAAGTTCCCTCTTCATGGGAGAGGCACCAGGAAGCCCTGGCAAAAAGGGGAGAGGCCTGAGCACAGGAAAGCCGGGAGCAGGGTCGGATTCCATGCAGCCTTCACCCCAGGCACCAGCAGGTGACGCCTCGAGTCACGCATGTCTGCCTAGCAGCTCTGGGGCACAGGAGGGACCTAATTCCCTGGATGCTCGGTGGGCGCCAGATACCTCACGCCACACAGTGGGCCATCCCATGTAGGCAGAGGCTCCCTGAAGCTGGGAGCAGGGCAGCCCTTGGCCTCTCCCAGAGGAACTGGAACGCAGGAAGGCTCCAACTTCAGTCCCATCTTAACATTTAGCCTCTTCCTGGTGGCTGATCATCATCAGCCACAGTCTCAGGGTGAGGGTGCTCACACCAGACACACAGCAGAGGCAGACACCGGGCAGGCGGCAGAGTGCTATTCCCACATGGGAGCATTCAGGCTATAGCAGGGCAGGTCAGAGCTGCGAGCCTGTGTAGACCAAACTGGGAATTCGTGGTCCAAAAGCATATTTGTTCTTCAGGGGCACGGATGAGCTGGGACAGAAAATAGGGAAAGACAACAGGCCAAGGCCACTCTGTGTTACGTTTCCTGAAGTCAGAATCAGTTGAGGCACACACTGGGGCCGGCAGGCATTGAGTGAGCCGTGTGGAGGAACATGTTGTGTCTGCTGTTTTCGAATACCCAGGGTGGAAGCTTGACCATCCGCATCCCCACTTCCCATAGCCCAGGCAGAGGGACAGAGAAATGGAGTGGGGAGCACAGAGCAGGCTCCGACAAGACAACTTCCCTGCTGCCAAACCACCATGATCCACTCTGACTTTGGTCACAAACTCCGCTAAAAACAATTCTCTACGTTCACTGTTCCCAAGGGTCATTCTAAACAGTGGTGGCCACCACCCCTTAGAAGCAAGAGAAAAAGAAAAAAGGCAAATAAATGCAGAAGGCAGCTGGAGCCTCCCAGATGCCCCTGCTCAGGACCCTTCCCCACAGCTTGGCAGTGGCCACTCAGGGCTTGGCCACAGGCAGGGCTTGGCTCAGTATCCTGTCAGGGGCAAGAGCCAAGCTGTGCGGGAGGGTCAGGGGGATGCAGGAAGGATGTTTGGGAATCACCAGGCCATTGCTGCATTTGGGGTGACAGGCTGAGTCTGCCAAGTCAGAGGGAGCCCTAAGGCCTCATCCTCACTGGGGGTCCCATTCCTGGAAGAGTGCCGAATGTTCAACTCCCAGGCCGCCTCTTCCAGCAAGAAGAAACCCATGTCTGAGCAGGGAAGGGCAAGATGTGCCCTCAGCCTCACTCAATGAGCTCCACGTAGTTGGCAGGGAACATGCCAAAATGGCCATCCGGCCCATAGCCACGCCACCAGCCTTCGTCGATCACCTCGATGCCTGTGATGAGGTTCTCGGGGTCAAAGGAGATCTCTGTGTCGTCGGCTGCAAAGAGGATGAGCCCAGATGTGTATCAGGGGCTCCCTCCCACATCCCACCTGCTCGGGCAGCACACGGCAGCCCCACCCTGCTGCAGTATAGCTCGCTGTGGCTCTGGTTCCTCCTCAGAAATATCCCTGCCACGCTGCTAAGCCTTGGCCAACACTGCACCCTGTCCCAATGCTGCTCTGGTGACCACAGCCTCAGGGCATACCCTCCTACAGAGCATTCCCAAAAAAGGCTAGTGTAGACACCAGTCTGCTCCATGGGGAGCCTCCACCCCATTCTCCAAGGCCTCCACCAGGGACGCCTGGGGAACCAGCATCCAGGCTTGGCCCACCTCCCTGCTCAGACCCCATGTTTTGTGACAAGGATGGCAACTGGGATTCTACATCAGCGGCCAGCAAATAGCTATGAGGAACACATGGGGAGGCCTGCGCTGTGCAGGACACGCCAGTGCCACAGTCGCCCCCACTCCAGAGGTGCTTCTACCCCTAAACGCACCACCCACCCTCCTGTCTTCTCTTCCTGACACCCCGTGGTGCCATCTTCCCATAAAACCCCAGACCCTCTTGTCTCCTAACCTCAGGACCCTGTGGTCCGTGCCAGCCAGGCCAGGGCACCTTACCTGCCTGGTAGTCGTACAGGGCACGGGCACAGAGCCCTTGCCCACTGAGCCCCTGGCCCTGAATGTGGTGGTCAATGTGCTCAGAGCCGGCACCTTGCTGCTGCACCTGCCCAGGGATGACAAAGGTGTTACCCCAGACTCAGCCCTTACACCCAGTCGCTGCTCTGCACCACATGGCCCGGGTCAAGCTGGGAGTACACAGAGGGAAAGCAGTCTACAGGCTCGGGGGCTGCTGCTGTCCCCGCCCTACCAGAGCACAGAAGCCACAGGACAGTGCGCAAATCCCTCAGCCATGGGCTGCAAGGTCCCCTTCCCACCCAGCACCTCCTACAGAGTGGTGCTTGCCCTGACAATTTATAGCACAGGGCTGCTCCAAAAATGCATGTGCTTTAAAACCTGTTGCATGCCCCCAGAAAACTTGGCCCGTGATAAGTGTTCCTGAGTATGCAGCCCCTTCCTGGCCCCAGCCCCACTGTAGGAACCCACCAGTGGGGGCTCCTCGTAGAAGGTCTCCTGCTCCGGGGGTCCCTCATACACAGCCTCCTCTTCTGCCTGCAGCAGACATGGAGGAGTGCTGGGCGCCGGCTCCTCACCAGGGAGATCTGCACCAGGGAACACAACGGGTTCTCACTCCCACACATCCCCCTTCTCCACTGCTGTCCCCCAGGGTCCCCATGGGATGACAAGCGCCTTGCCTGTCCTAGGCCTTGAGACAGTGGCAGCTGGCTCTCTGCCAAAGTGGGTCTCTGGTTGGGTGAGCTGCTTCTGCAGGAAGGGGCTCCTCAGCTTGCCTGCAAATCCGGGTAAATAAATACAACATCACTTCAGAAACACCACCTGTTGCACACGCGCATGCGCACGCACATACACACACCCCCCGCCCCTGCCACAGCACCCTCCACCCTGGTGTGCTCGAGGCAGTCTCATGGGGCTTGCCCTGGCTAGTGCAGGAACAGAGACCCCAGGGCCATGTGCTATGTGGTGACCTGGTAGACAGCGCAGCCCAATATCTTTTGGAGGCCAAACTGGTGACCAGTGTGGTTACTGATGAGGTCAAGGGCCCCAGGTGTCCCTTCTCTCTCACTCATCCCTGTCACCGATACATGTCACTAGCCTCAGAGAGTCCACATAGGACCCCAGGATCCCCCTCACCCTGCTGCTGCCTCATGGCCAGGCCCAGAGGGAGGTCTCACCCGGCTGAGGACTGGAGACGGAGGTGGTGGACATGGCCCTCTCCTTCTGCTTGAAAATCTCCCTCGGGTGCATGGCAGACTCCTGGAGGGAAGCACATGTTGACCCCTGCAGTGGGCAAAACTTTCACCACCTCTCCCCAGATCACAGCCCCTCCAGCTGTCAGTCCGGTAGCCCCTCAAAGGTGAGTATGGGGCCAGGAGGCAAAACGTGTTCTCAGGTGAGAAGTCATTTAAAAATAAAAAGTCCCTTTAAAAAGGGAAGTAAAACACAGAAGCCAAGGGGCTCACAGGGCCTCCCCCAGGACCAGGTGTGGTCCAAGCCCGAAGCTTCCGCCTTTGACTTTCCTCTCTACTGTCAGCTCTTGAGGTGCCCAGGTTCCAACCTGCCCCAGCTGACTGCAGGGCAGCTTCTGCCCAGGTCTGGGCTGGGCCCTCAATCCATGATCAGGGACTTCTGTGTGTGGCCAGTACAGGTCCAAACAAGGAGAGCACCCTCATCTTACCTGCTCATCTCGGTTCCTTGAAACCACTTCTTGCTGCTGCTCCTCCCACGTCCTGCTGGAAAGGGCCGGGTGGGGTACAGCTGAGGCACAGCCACAGCTTCTCACGCCGCACCCCTCAGTCCTCCTTGCCTCCGTGGGATGGAGCGGGTGCCCAGCAATGCCCCAGGGTGGGTCCCCCAGGCCAGCCTCCACCTCTGGCTCACCTCTGGGGGCTGGCCTCGCCACGCTGCTCCTGATAGCGCTGCTCCCGGCGCGCAGCCTCACGCAGCTCACGCTCCCGGCGCTCCTGCTCCAGCTGCCGCTGCGCCTCCTCAGCCCGCCGCTTTTCCTCCAGCCGACGGTTCTCCTCCTCCTTCTGCAGGGACAGCCGCTGCCCGCTCAGCCCTGTGCTGACACTTCAGCCTAATCCCCTGCCCAGGACTGGGTTTTAGGCATATGGCCAAAGACGGGCACCAGAGCCAGTCGCTCATTAGCCTTGTGGCTTAACCTACCCGAGCCTCAGTGTGACCATCTGTAATGGGCACCAAGGAGAGCGGATGCTGCACGAGCTCGCTGCGAAGAAAGCTGAGCCACAGCAAGCAGAACAATCCCATGTGCCCAGCACGCCCCGGGGCAGCACTCACCTCTGCTTTGGCCCAGAAGCTGTCTTTACCAACCCTTTTAATCTCAGACACAGCATTGGTCTTCTGGTACACAGAGCCCTGTAGGGGACAGCACTCATTAGAGACCTGGACCCA